TCTTGTAAATCATCACTGAGTATCCATTTCCTTTGCATTCATTCAAAACAGTATTAATTGATTTTACAGAATTCTCTAATTTTCTGATCAAATTGTGACAGTCTTCGATTATTTGAGCAGAGAAAGAAGGAGAGAAAGGATAAGTTAATGTAATATTAGGATCAGATTTGAGGATTCTTATAACCTCGGTCAAAAGAGAGTTTGAATGTCTCCCGGAATGACACATGCAGACCAACAAGAGTGCACAATGCACTCTTGTCGGTCAAAGTTTTCCAATCGTATTCTGATTGCAATAAATTGTTTGATTCTGGGAGACATGCACAGGCAATGTCTCCCGGAATGACACATGCAGACCAACAAGAGTGCACAATGCACTCTTGTCGGTCAAAGTTTTGCAATCAATTCTGATTGCAATAAAGTTGATTCTGGGAGACATGCACAGGCAATGTCTCCCGGAATGACACATGCAGACCAGGCAATGTCTGCAGCATGCAGACGAGTCATAATGTTGTCGTCAGTTCCGCATTCAAGTTATGAATGCGGAACAGTATGCCATTCTGGGGACATGCACAGGCAATGTCTCCCGGAATGACACATGCAGACCAACAAGAGTGCATAATGCACTCTTGTCGGTCAAAGTTCGCATTCAAGTTATGAATGCGGAACAGTATGCCATTCTGGGAGACATGCACAGGCAATGTCTCCCGGAATGACACATGCAGACCAACAAGAGTGCAATGCACTCTTGTCGTCAAAGTTCCGCATTCAAGTTATGAATGCGGAACAGTATGCCATTCTGGGAGACATGCACAGGCAATGTCTCCCGGAATGACACATGCAGACAACAAGAGTGCACAATCCGCTTTCTCCTTTGAAATCCAACATTCTAATCACATCTACATTAATAAATTGTTATAAAATACTAATCAAAGATCCAATACAATTCTACTATCTTATACACACATTACCAATGTTAACACCTCTTATAACTTAAATTATTTCATAAAAGTTGTTTTTATATCTTATTATTTTCTCATAATGCTTCTAATACATCTCTAATTTCTTACATTCAAACACCAATATCGTCATACTATCATAAGCACTTAATTTTTTCAAATTTTTAGACTTAAATTTGAGCTACATTTTCATCATCATTTTTAGCCTTAAGCTTCTATAAGGTTATAATACATTATCGTAATATTCTAATATTTATGATTCTTACTACTCAATTCAATATAATCATATAAGTCACTCATAATCAGGAGCATAATTTAAAAATCTATAGCTCATATTTTGACAATTATATATATAGATGATGCATATTGCAATTCCGGTTTCAACACGATCAAATGTCAAACCATGATAAAATATATATCAATTTACAAAATATCGATTAACATTAGAATCCATATCTAATTCCATCAATGCACAAGTTGTAAATGCTTAATCCATCTTTGAGAAACGTGAATAGCACAATTTTATAAGATTATTTGTTGAATATTTAAAATATAAGCCAAATCGAATCTTCTGTATATTACTTTAGTTTATAATTGAATGTTAAATGTGCTCAGATAAATATTTGAGTCAGATATCGCATTTTCAAATTTCAAATTTTATCTCATGAAGTTAGAATTCATTTGATCATACAACATCATATTAGTCAAACTAGAGTTCAATCGCGATTCCAAAATGGAACAATTGCTTGTTTTATCAAAATGTTAAAATATTAATCTAAAAAACTTAATATCTAACCAAAACATTCTAGAAATATCATATACAGGTATATGCAATCTAAATGCACACGAAATACTGAAAATTAAAAAGAATATTTATGAGATTATTAAATCTTATGCATTTCAATGAAGAGTCGATAATTATCATCTCTATAGGTTATATATCAACATATGAGTTTTTGGATTGACCACTACTATACTAATGTGATCAAATTAATCTGATTTCTTGAATTTTCATTTGAAGCATTCGCAGTAGTAGGAGTACCTTCATATATTAACATATTAAAAAATTGCGCCCAGATTCGCAGTTTAATCATGATTTTAAGATTGCATTAGATTTCGAAATGCAGAAAAAAATCACTTTAGATTCCCTTCAAACTCTAAGCATAAGCATGTCTCTATATGAGGAAACTACTTGAGCTATTCATTTGGCGGCCCAAAAACTCATGTTGCCTGAGCGCAGAAAATACCAATTTTTGGACCCTGGGTAGGGGGTCATGCATGTTTTCTAAATGTTGGAAAAGTAGGGTATAAATTTTTTATTCATAAATCTAATAGTAGAAAGTATAATATGTTTTGCAACACTTCAATTATCGATTAGTGAACTGTGGTAATGAAATAATGTCTATAATTGATAATAAATTTCTAAAACCTGAATTTTTTTAGGAGTGGCTCGTGCATTTGTTTGTGTGATGAAAGGAGTCTTGAAGTTTATGGTAAGGGAAGGAATTTGGTTTTATCCATATTGATGATTAACTTTCCATAGTAATATGGAACATCATCCTAAATATAGATGTTTTACATGATATTTATATTTGATTTGATTAAAATTTGAGATTTGAAAATATAAAATTGCAAATTATTGAATAATGAAGGATTTTCGTCATTTATTGTAATGGTTTGTAATATAGAATTGTTTGTAATCGATATTAGTGCAAAAAATGTCTGAATTTTAATGAAATGAAAAATATAGCGAATCGAAGTTATTTGTGGTGAGTATTGAGTGATGATTTGACATTTGTAAACTGAGTGATATCAATATTTATTTCTTATGTCTTTGGTTTCTTGAATCAATGAATTCGTTAATACAGATTAACAGGATTCATTGAACCAAAATGATGTTGTTTTATATGATATCGTGTATTTTGAATGTTGCTATTATCCTCGTTGAAATATAGATTGAATTTCCTGAAGATATTTGAGATTCTTTTTTAAATTGTATTAAAAGTCTTGAAACATGTTTCACTTCATTAGAAATTTGCATTATTCTTAAAAGAAATGCAATCTTTTGATGTTCAAAATCCAAAAATATTTCAAAATTTAAAAAATTAATCCCAATTTTGCTAAAAAAGTTTTTAAAATTAGAAAAATAAGAAAATTTTGGAAAAATAACATCTATCATTACTAACTATTTTATGTTTTTATTCATATTTACCTTTAATATGTCTGTCTTTTTTCATAATTCAAAAGATTTAATATTAATTTTTAATGAATTATGTATAAATTCTAAGATTAGTAGACAGGTTAAGTCGTATGACATTCATAAATTGTTTAAAATTCGTTTTAAATATTGAGCATTTCAATTCCAATGAATAAAGGAAGTATTAGTAGCCAACAACATTCATATTATAATTTACTATATAAAGTGATATTGTGTCATTCATATGTTACATCTATAACCTATTTTTTAATAGATTATTAAAGATTTTTATCAAACAGTAGATATTCACAACGCTATTATAGTGGATTCAATTATATATAGTACATAGGTCAATAAAAATGTATCATGCATATCATTCTTCTTATATTTTTTTTGGAATAAAAATTTTGACTTTTTGAATGAAATCTTTAGTATGGTTAACAAAGCATCGATGTTATAAAGCGATATCTCTATATTGTGTTGAATATTTTTAAATTTTATTATCATTCAAATCTTGATTCGTATATAATGCAATAAATGTTGGAAAAGTAGGGTATACAATTCTCATTTTTTTTTAAAAAAAATGATATCAGTATAAAAACTATACTGCATCAATACATCATTAAACTTTTAGTCCAACAAATAACGTATAAATTCACTCAAGCATCTACATTCACAACATCATATTCAATATCATTAAGAATGGGTTCAGTATCTTGGTTTGCAAATGTTGCTGGCTGGCTGTTTGCAATATTTGCGGAGAAATATGATCTTATTGAAATTATATTTCCTTTTTCTAATAGGAATATAATAAATCCAATAACTGCGAAATATAATAAAGCAAAGAGAGCTATGGAAAATGGAGGTCTTGTGAATTTATTGCAATTGCATTTGAATAATGAATCATCGACTGTATTATTATGAGAATTGAATATAAATGATGTGAGTCCGCATTTATTTGAAATATTCTCATTAATACCAATGGTTTCGAAAGCTATTCCTAGATCATTTGTTATATGATCGTGTATCTGAACAACAAAAGGTAAGCCAGTATAATAATATTCTAGCTGTATTGGCTTTTCACTAAGTGGGGTATAGATGTTATGAGTTGGCAGTATAGTTTTGGAGAATTTTATACCAGAAGAATTAAATGTGAGAGGAGAGAAAAGACATGCTTGTTTCGCATATATCTGCATATTCATATTATTGGAGTAGTTAAGAAAGTAAGATTCTGCGTTACACGTACCTTTTTCTAGATTCCATCCTTTAATAATTTCGAGTTCGTCCCCATAATTAATGATACTTATATTTACATCAGAAAATGCGTAATAATTGTTGGCTTGTGGATTTATATCTGTTGATGTTGTGCGATTTTTGATATTATATTTTGTTTGATTCAGGTTTGAATTGGATAAAATATAAAATTTACTGTTATATGAACTAATTTCGACGGTTTCATGTGGAGGTATTTTGATAATTTGGAATGAGTTTAGAGATAAAGATAAAATTGTATTCATCTAAAGTAAAATGACCAATTATTCAACATTAAAAAAAAAAAAAAAAAAAAAAAAAAAAAAAAAAGGTAGTGGGGCTTCCAGGCACTTCGTGCCCTCTAGCCCTGAAGATGTTTAGTATAACTTTGTCCGGACAAGTAAGGGTCTATCGTCGCTACAGGAAAAGTTACGGGCGTTCCAAGGAAGTATACTTTGAGAAGACTTTCCCCATTATAGAATGAGATAGGACGGTTATTTTACAAAACTGACAACACTTTGACCGAGTAGTTTTTTGTGCTGAACAAAAAGTGTCATATAAACATCTGTCAAAAACCGTTTTTTACTTCACTTAAAATGCCACGTAAGCTACGTAAGAATATACGTAAGAGGAAGGGAGCATTGAAACATCCCATAGTAAAACTGACACCACAACAACAGTTGCAACAACAAATGATGAATGACCCCACTATGTTGCAACAAATGTCAAGCAACCCTATGCTTTTAAACCGAGTTATTGGTGCACAGAGTGGAGGTTTAAGAGCGGCACTTTTAGCGAAAATGGCAGGCTATGGTGGAGCTGCAGACGGAACAGCTTATAACCCTCAAAGTCAAATGAATTTGAGTTCACTCAAAAATCAAATAACAGATGTCAAAAAGTCAAACATAGACATACAGAAACAAATAAGTGAAAACGAAAAGAAACTAGAATATGACAGACAGACAAAGAAACTCAATGAGTTAAACGTAGAGAAAAAGAAGAAAGAAGAACAACTGAAAGAACTAAGTACAGAGGAATATGCGAAAAAAGTGTCAGAAAAAGCAGCAGAAGTAGCAAAAATGGAACAAGATGTTATAAATTTGAAAAACCATACTACTCAATATAAAGTACTGAAAGATGAAGAAATAAAACAAAAAGCCCTGAAGACATATATGGATAGCGATGAGTATAAAAAAGAAGTTGAAGCAAATGTAAAGGCAGAAAAACTTTTACAGTTGCAAAACCAAACCGTACAGTATGAAAACTTAGCACAAGAAAGTAAAAATAACGACGCAGCCATGCAAAAGGCAATGAAAAGCGCAGAATATATAAAAGCTAATAATGACTGGTTAGATGCCCAAGCCAACGCCAAAGCAGCCCAACTTATAGGGTCAATAAGGACAAAAATACAAGCGGATGAAGACAGTTCAAATGAAGCTTTAATGAATGCTGACTTTAAGAACGCCTTCGAAGCTCTTCATAGTAAGGTGAAACTAGTGAACGACTTCTCATCTGGAAAGAAACTGAAGTCTGAAGGTTTCGACAAAGAGTTAAGAGAAGTAGCACAAAATATGACGAAAATAACAGATGCAGCAACGAGACAGGCAGTTCAAAGTGCCTATGACGCCGTTAGAGCAACTGTTGTGGAAAGTCAAGAAAAAGAGTTACAACAGACCAAAACAGACCTAGTAAATGCTTTCTTAAGAACGAAAAGTCAGGTAGGACATTATGCTGCAGATGGAACATATGTGCCAGCTGGTGGAACTTATATACCAGCTGGTGGAACTTATATACTAGCTAGTGGAACTTATATACCACCAAACCCTCCAAGAGAAGCACCTGCACCAGGACTACCTAAAACATTTACATCGTCACATGGACACAGACACAGGCATGCACCAAAACAACAACAACAACCAACAGTTCAAAATCCAGCACCACAACCAACAGTTCAAAACCCAGCACCACAACCAACAGTTCAAAACACTGCACAACAACCAACAGTTCAAAACCCTGCACAACAACAACCACAAACAGAGCAAGGACATAAAAGAAGTAGAGAACAAGGAAACCAAGAATTCTTAAAAATGCTTAAGGAAAATTATGGTTACCCAGATACTCTTGACTTTAGTGACAGATATAAAGAAGCTATTAGAAAGTTCAAGGAAGGAAATACTGACCCGAACCTATTTAGCTTTATGGTTCAGCACCAAATGGGATATAATTTCAAACCTGGAAAATACAAGCTCGCTAAGGGATATGATTTAATAGCATATCATCCAAATGACATGAATGAATTTACTCCGAGATATTTGGTGTCAGAGCTAAATGATAATTCAACTATCTCTTCATGAAACGCGTAAAAAATAGAGACGGAACGAAAGAAGAAAGGTTATGAGTCGGATGACTTAATAGGGAACTTTTAAAAATGGTCTCGGAATATATGAAATGCCAGCAGATGAGGTACAAGAAACTCCACAGGAAGAAGTTCAGATACAACCAGACATGGAAGAAATAGTTCAGCAACAACAGCTAGAAGAGCCTGAAGGAAACGAACAAGTCCCTCCTTTGGAAACTAACTTCACAGAACTAGATGAAGATTTGGAACAGCCGAAAAATCTTGACCCTCAACAAGTGTATGCGGGGAATATGGAATCTTTCCAAGAGTCTAAGAAAAATTCGGCTGACATAGTAGAAGAATATCGAAAAATGTTCGCCGACATACAAAAGACTCCAACATCAGATGAAAATATTCAGCATAGAATGGAAGTACTGAAAGAAAGTGTACGCAAATACAACAATCCTTTTTACTTACGACCATATAACGTTCAATCTTTGGCTGAACTCGGTGAAAATAAAAGGTTAAATTTCACCAAAACATATAGAAATGAAACATTGTTTAAAGTTCATTCAGAACCTAGCCAATATGGAAACAAACCTACTTTTGTTTCTGCAGACTATGGAACTACAATGAGATGGGGTCATAAAGCTAATCCGGATAGGTGGTTCATAAACTTACAACCTCAATTCCAAGAAGTTGTAGACGCAATGGAAGTGAATGGTGAACCAGATATAGCTGGTATTTTCAGCGCGGCTTTAATGCCATTGAAAGATATGAAACATGCAGATATTTTGGACCAGTATGAAATGAACATGGCTGATGGAAATATAACACCTGACGTTCTAGAACATTTATCTCAAAGAACTACACAGAACCATAGAGATGGTATATTTGGTGAAGAGTTTAGAAAGAAAGTTAGGGAGAGAGAAGGAAGAGAACCTATTGTACATGACCTTGCAAACGAAAGTTTGCAAAATGTCATAAAAACTTACTTTGCAGACAATGAACCGAGAAGGGATGAATATTTAAGAAAACTCAAATGGACAGTACCAAATGAAATGTTAGTATTGAAAAACATGTTCCATGACAAAATAAAACCAACTACAGAAATAAATGACGCAAGACTGAAACGTTGGGTAAAAGCTTTCCCATTCACAAAAGATATTATTGGTAACATGGAAAGAAAACCAGAATGGCTACAAAAACATATATTTGGAAACGAGCTTATTCCATATGGACAAGCTCTGTTTGAAGAGCTTGAACCGGAAACTCAGGAAAGAGTCATGCAAACAATACGCGAAGACTCAAATACAAACTATGACAAAATCTTTCTAGGATATAGGTTACCTGAGATGGGCGACCAGAGCCCAAAGGCAAAAAGGACACGTGAAATTTACAACATACTAGGTGAACATGAGGCAAAGATGCAACAACTTGAAGCAGAGGGCAAGTTACCAAAAGCGACACCAAAGAAGAAGAGTAGAACAAAGTGAAAGTAGTGAAGAAGTAACTTCATCTAGTGAAAGTAGTGGCAATGAAGGAAAAAGAAGAGTTAAAAACTCAGTCAGGAAGAAAGTAAAGCTTGGTACGAGTGGGTTCTATTATGACACATAAATCCAACTATTCTATATTTTTACCCATATGAAATGTACGCCGCTCAGAATATAACGCCAACAGTTTTGGACGCCATGAACGGAAATGTTTCCGAATGGTATAACGAATGCGACAATGCCATTAGAAGGTCAGAAATAGTTCCTGGAACTTACGAATATACAACTGCTGTTTCTTATGGAAACGTAGGTGAGTTTGGAGAAGGTTCTTCAACAACAGTAGATATTGCTTGCGACAGGTTTCATATTATTTCTATTGACAACTCATTCTTATACGTGGAACAAGACATTGAAATAAAACCTTCTGCCAAGTTGTCTGACAAGAAAGGTTGCAATGGAATTTTCTATGTCGGATACCAATATGCTCCAGAAGTTTTCATGGGATATAAGATATATTCTAACTCTGACTTAGTTCAAACAGTAACATGGGCAAACTATGAATGGTTCGCTTTGAGAAACTCAGTACAACCACAAGCTAGAGAACAAACAGACCAGTATGCAAATATTGAGAAAATAAGAAGACTTGACCCTAACGTTCCAGGAGTTTATGTTAACCTTTCTGGTTCAGATGGAACTGCTGCCACTAAAGTAAAACTGAAACTTAGAGTTCCTTTGTCATCTTTCCTCATCTTCAGGTTTTTAAGATACTTGCCAAACTGGGCAGGAAAAATTTCTATCGAACTTACTCCAAGCAAAAATAACTTAGTCATTGCACCAACACAAGACCCATTCAGCATTACTGTAGCTGGAACTGGTGGAGCCAAGTTCTGTGACTTTTGCAAAGACAAAGTTGACTTAGACTTTGGTTTCTCAAACTTCAACAATGAAGTAAACTATTATTTCAATGCTGCTGGAACTGCTTGGGACCCAGTTAAGTTTACATGCGAAAAGTTTGAATGCAAGAGAATAGAAAGCAGACTTGCAGTCTATATGTTGGACCCAGATATTTCAAATGCTTTAGCTGCCAAATATATTGCAGTTCCACTTATGTTCCCTATACACCAAATATCTGTCAAAGACTTTGCAGGTGAAGTTGGAAACCAAAGTGCTGACCCAGGTGCAAGAACAGATATTGCTTTAACAACTGCAATGAAACATGCAGATACTATGTTTGTACTGTTCAGACGAACTATAAATGACTATTCTTGTTTCTACAACCCCGGTATTAAATATCATATAAACATAGATGGCAAATATTATCCAAGAGAAGAATATTCTACAGTTGAGGATATGAGGTCATACAACTTGACATTAGATGCTATGAACTTTAACAACAACTTCACAACAACCATTAACCCTGAAATGCAAAGTTCTATTATGCCATATGTGAAAGTATGGACTCATACAGGAGGTCAAAAAACTCAATATACAAATGGAGACCGTTCAAACTTTTGGCTTGGCATTCCATTTGCTGACTCAGAAGACTTTATGGGTGGTATTTCAACTGTTTACTGTACAAATACAATATACTGGTGACAGAGACGGTCCAGATGAACTGAGAGCAAAGAAGTTTACAAAACCAATAGCACTTTTCACGGAAGATGCTCTTTTGAAGATTCGTTCGATGAAACCTGCTGGGGCTCCTCAGATTGGCATAACGACAGCTTCCATCGAGCAGATTTTGGCAGCAGGTCAGTAAGTTGTTCTTGAACTGACTTCTCTCCGTCAAATATTGACAGTACGCCAGTTTTGACATAATATTGTAAGATAAACTTTCCTTTAGAAATATCTGTAAGTTTTGTTGTTATATTTTTGTCAACGTCAAGAACTTTCACCATCTCGGTTATACCAACTTTCTTTGCTTTATGAAAATATTTAGGTTCAGCAAAGACTGCTATTCTATAACATTTACCATTGTTTGTATAAAGAACTATTCTGTCAATGTATTTGTATTGTTTGTGTGTGTAAACTTTGTTCTGCTTCAATTCAATAAGATATCCGAATACATCCATCTTTTTATTCTAAGTAAAATGTCATTTCCGAAAAATAGAAGCGTGAGTGTTTCAAAAGGTTTAATGGCGGTGGCAGATGTGAAGTTAAATTCACCAACTCAAACAAACAGTCAAAGTGTTGTTGTCAATGTCAAAGACAGAGATGTTGAAGTGGGGAAACCATACGAAGACGAAGATGGTATAACAATTGTTCCTGTAAAAGAACCAACATATCCTGAAGTTAGCAGAGACTTAAGTTCTGTTGCAGATATTCGAAACGACTACCAACAACTGAAAGACAAACTTCAAACTCAGGAGAAGATTTGTCAAGCTTTAGGTATAATGTTAAACTTGGTCGAACACAACCCTGTAAAAGTGAACTCATATGTCATTGCACCTCATGAAGTTTTGAAAGAACTATTGAAACTTTTGACAGAGGCAGACGATATAAACATCAAAGAAATAGAACCCGACATTAGTTGCTGTGGTGTTTCATATAATGTCATTGACAAGATATACGTTATGAAAAGAGGTGAAACGTTGAACTTAAAGTATAGTTTCCCAGACGTCATAAAAATATTTGACGACCACAACATTTCATTAAAATTTATTTGCTAAGTAAAAATGTCAAAACTTCTTGAAAGATGTTTGAAGAAAAATAATATAGACTTTATTTCATGTAAAGGACTTTACACACTTTTGAACGATATGAAAGACCCTGTTTTGTTTGTTCGTGTAGACAAAGGAAAGTTCTATGTCTTTACAAAATATTTGAACTTCTTAGACAGAGAACTTCAAGAAACGCCATGTGAAAGTTTAGATGAAGTTCTTCTCCACTTTCAGAAAAACTTTTAAATATATATAAATGGCAGAAGATATAATGGTTTATACTATTACGACTAAAAACCCGAGTCATATAATTCTATAACAACAAACTTACAAAGTCCTCAAGGACGATATTGTAAACTAACCTTAAACACAATGACGACTAAAGCCTGTTTTGCTCTTTTGACACCAGAAGACTTTATTGTTGTGAATGGTAAAAAATACTCCTTTGAAGATACTTACTCAGATATACCACCAACAGGTTTTGTTGACTTATTTAATACTTTAAGTACGGGTGTAACATGTGCTGCAACTAGAGCAGGTTTCATTATGTTTGGATGTCCGACTGAGTTTACTATAAACAATATGAGCTATAATACAAAACTTATTTCTGGTTTTTACTACCAACAGTTTCCTATAACAGGAAAAGGTGTCATACAAGGAATGTCTATTCCATTGACATTAAGCACACCAATCTTATATATTGTTTCAAACTTAGGTTCAAAGTGTTATTCGAACGTCGACAGAAACTATTATGACCAAAAGATACTTATGCGTATAAACAATACTTTCTCTGCTGGTTTGCCTATTGTTCATTCGAATGCAGAATTTTCAACCTTAGTGAACTCAAACACTTTGGCAAGTATAACGTTGACATTAGTTGACGCAAACTTTGTTCCTGTAAAACTTTTATGTCCTATGTATTTGTCAATGACGGCAGAAAGTTTCGAATTGGAAGATGCAACTGGTGAAAGTATTGTATTACAAGAACAACTTCAACAACAAATAGCTCAAGAACAACAAATGCAACAAATGCAACAACAAAGTCAAGAATAAAAAAAATATTTTTTTTTATTTTTATAAAAATGTACAGAATAGATGTTTCAGATTTTTATGACTTCCAAGCATTCAGAAATATGTGTCCATTTAGAGACTATAACAAAGCAGTCGAGAATTTGAAACGTTTAGTCATTTATGTCGACTCTGCCCCAGAATGTTATGTTATGAAAGAATGGGATGTAGTCTTTAACAAACCAAGAGCAACAATAGTTTCAGAACAAGAATGTAGACAGAAACTTAAGAAAATAAAAGTCGTACAAGTTGGCATGAAGATGTTAGATGCTTGGGATATCTTATTGTCAAAGTTAGAAGATTTTTCAGTTCGAGGTATAAAGTTCTATACACCTTCTCCAAACTTCTATTCTATCTTCACTGGATATAAATATGAACAAGTAGAATGGAAAGAAAATATTATAGAAGCTTGGTTAGACCATGTCAAAGAAATTATATGCAATGGAAACGAAAGAGTCTATGAGTATATCTTATGTTGGTTTGCAAACATCTTACAACATCCAAGTGCTAAAAATGAAACTGCTCTCATTATAATTGGAAAACAAGGAACTGGTAAGAACACATTCTTTACAGATATTTTGTGCAAACTGTTAGAAGGTTATTCGAATCCGAATATGACAAACTTAGAAAACATCTGTGGCAAGTTTAACTCCTCAATAGAGAATATGAAACTTATAGTTTGTAACGAACTTCAAAGTATAGATACAACAAAAGTTTTAAACTCAGATGCTTTGAAGAGTCTTATAACAGATAAAGTTGGAGTTGTTGAAAGAAAATATAAAGACCAAAGAGTTTGTGTAAATGTTGCAAACTTCATTATGATTTCAAACAATGCTGTTCCGATGAAGTTAGAAAGTTCTGACAGAAGATATGTAGTTGTCAGAACGTCAGATTCTCATATGCAAGATACAGAATATTTTGACGACTTAGCAGAAACTTTGACATCTGACTTTTACAACCACTTGTTCTCATATTTTATGACATTAGATATTTCTAAGTTCAATCCAAACAAATTCCACATACCGAAGAGAGACAAACATTGTTAGAAGCAAACAAGAGTGTATATGAACTGTTCATAGATGAAACTGACTTTGTGTCATTAGATGAAAGGTCATTGTACGATTCGTATAAACAATATTGTCAAGAATATGGTTATATGACAGCGTCTAAACGAACATTCTTGGCAAATGTCAAAAGTCTTTTAGACGTACAGAATGGTGTATATACAAAGAAAATTTTTTCTGAGTAAATTTAAAAAAAAATATTTTTTATCCGATAGAAAAAGATGGCAAAATTCATCTCAGTAAACAAGTACATGTCAGGACTTAAAGAAGAACTAGACCCATTCACATATTTGAATGTTTACTTCTACCATTTTGAAAAGTCTTCATTCAGCAAAGTTTGGAACATCGAACCAGTTAAGTTTGCTATTGTGACTAAAAATGGTGCGAAATTTGAAGACTTAGACATAGAAGGTTTGTTAGCAGTCAAAGAAAGTTTTGACAGAAGGTTCTCAAACCTTAAAGAAGGCAAAGCATACAAACTTGTTATACCTTATGAACCAAAGAAAGCAGACGACTATGAATATTATGAGTCTAAGATAGTTGAAGTTCAAGGTAAATTGGGTAAAAAGATTTTAGAGTCTAAGCCAGTGTTTGCTCCTAAAGAGGAAGAGAACATTGACATTGACCCAGAAATGTTCTAAAAATAAAATTTTATTTTTACATGTCAAATTTCTTTTTCTCTGGAACTGGTTCAGGTTCTTTCTTCTCTTCTTCTACTTTCTTTTCTTTCTTTTCTCTCTTCTTCTTTTCTGGTGGAGTTATGTCAAATTTGGCGCAACTATATTTATGTAAAAGTTCTTTGTCCTTTAATAGCTCATCTATTCTGTTTTCTATTTCATCTTCAAGAACAGCGCATGTGTCTTCTTTGCATTCTAAGAAGTTTTGTTGGACTTCATCTCTCCAAGAGGCGTCATCTCTGTCAACAAGTCTGTCATTGACAAATTTTAAGACTCTCTGCTAATGTTTTATGGTTCTTGTCATATTCCCAGAAACAGAACTTTAGAACAAATTCACCTTTCTTGTTTACACTATGTAAGATTTTATGGTCGACAGATGTTTTGCTGTCGAAAAGCTTGTCTCGAATATAGATAGCGAAATCGCTAGACATTTTCTAAAAGATAAAAATTTTAATTTTTCTAAAAATATGTTAGAAAAAAAGTTTGCTGACATTGACAAGAAATTTGAGAATGTTTTAAACAAGAACAAGAGGAAGTTAGAAAATGCTCAGATAAAACCTATACATGACAAGTTCTTATTTGCTCAGAATGGTATAACAGGTCTAATTGCACCACCTGGGTCGGGTAAGACTTTCACTTATCTTAAAATGGCTGCACAACAACAAGAACTAGATGAGAAGAACCCATTCTATGAGTTAGTTGTCATTTGTAGTACTTCTGGTCAATTTGACCAAACCGTCAATTCGTTCAAAGATATTATAAAGAAGTCTAAGTTAGTATGTATAAAAGACTCTGAGTTGTTAGATTGGATAAAGAAGTACCAAAGAAGAGTTTTGAAGTATAATGCTATAAATGAGTATATAAATTCTAAGTTTAAAGACCCTAATGAGGAAATGCAGAGAATATTAGAGAAGAAACACTTCAGAAACAAACAGAAAGAGATAGAATACATTTCGAAGAAATTGCAATCGTACGATTGGAAGACTTACCCTCATAGATGTCTTCTTATCTTAGATGACTTTGCTTCTCATCCTTTGCTTAAGAATAGAGAACAAGATATGTGTCGAATTCTTAAGAAGCTCAGACACTTTAACATCTCAGTTGTCATTTGTGTACAGACAGCAAAGAGTTTAAGTAAGGATGTAAAGAGAATACTTACTGACATTGTACTTTTCCCCGGATTGTCCGAAGACGATTTCATGGAACTTATGAAAGAGTCCATGGCAGGTAAGTTTGACAGATATGAACTATGGGAGAAGTACAAAGTCATACAAGACCCTCATACTTCTTTCAGAATTCATATCTATGCGAACAAAGTTCAAATTGTAAAAAGTCAAGCTTGAAAAATCTAAGTGTTTAGTCTTAGTAAGATGGTAGCTTCTTAAAGCATATGCCGTCCTTGAGTTTTAGGTACGTGAAGAGAAGTACAATGAATTCAATTACGAGTACAATTGCAATGACAACCAAGGCAACTATTTTTGTCTTTTGCCAGCAAGGGTACTTCTTCTCTTCCAATGGTTCGGCAGAACTATACTCACTCATGAGAAATGCCAAAACGGTTTAATAGAAAAAGTGTCATCTACCCTACTTGTTTGAAGTTGTCAAAATACTCTGTTATTTTTCACGATTTTCATGAGTTTTAGGCGACCCAGAAAAAAAACGGTCTCGCTGTTCTTCACTGTTTTCGTACGGAATCTCTTCTCTAGGTTTTCCGAGGGAAGCAAGCATATGAGGAAATTCATGAAATTTGGTCATTTTTCAGCAAAAATAATGTTTAGGTGAAGAGGTGAGATCTCACCTGTTTTTTCACCTAATTTTTCACCTCTTTTTTTTTCACAACCGTTTTACATGGTAAGCGTTATTTTTTGACGAAGTGAACATTGACACTTCGTCAAAAAAATCCCTGAAATCATATCTTACATACAAAATAAAAAAATAAAATGACACTTTTTCATTAGATAACTGTTATTTTTTGACGAAGTGAACATTGACACTTCGTCAAAAAAATCCCTGAAATCATATCTTACATACAAAATAAAAAAATAAAATGACACTTTTTCATTAGATAACTGTTATTTTTTGACGAAGTGAACATTGACACTTCGTCAAAAAAATCCCTGAAATCATATCTTACATACAAAAAAATACAAAAAAACTAACTTTATTTTTTCTATCTTAAGGAAATTCATGAAAATTCAAGAGGTGAAAAAAGAGGTGAAAAAACAGGTGAGATCTCACCTCTTCACCTAAACATTATTTTTGGGTCCTTTACACTCATTACGAAGAAGTCTTGACAAAACATTTACGAAGAAGTCTTGACAAAACATTTACGAAGAAGTCTTGACAAATTCAAGAGGTGAAAAAAGAGGTGAAAAAACAGGTGAGATCTAACCATCTACCCGACATTCTCGTCAAATACAAAAAAATGAAAAAGTGTCATTTTTTTCATGTCCGAAGACTCGAAGGTGCAACACTTCCAAAATACCGACGAACTCAGAAGAGCAGCATGGCAGTATCTTCTTGACAACTTCTTTGAGTTCTCCAGGTACACCTTGGAAAATGCTGAAGAACTCCGACACAGAGAATTTGGAGAAATTGCACTCCAATACTACCTTGACAAACAAAGGGTAAACAAAGGGTAAATTAAGACTAAAAACTTAACGTTTAAAAAGTGACATTTTTAATGAGCTCCGAGTCACCGAGAAAACTTGGTCAGATGTTAGCAGCTTACTTCCCTGAGGAGGATGGAAGCGTTACATACGTAAGGTTCAAAAACAACGAACCTGGAATTGCGTACCAAATTCGCAATTACATGACCATGGAAGAGTACGAAAGGTTCCTACAAGAGAAACCAGCTCTAAACAACTCAGAAAAGAAAGAATAAAAAGTTTAACTCGTAATTGTTTATTTTTTTACTTGTATGGGCAAGCTGCAAGAATGAAGTCGACTATCTCAGTCTTTGTCTTGACCAGTTGGACGGCTCTTGTGAGTATGTCTGTTTTGCGGTCTCCAGCTGGTGTCTGACCTTCGTAATTGCGCATGTTCTTGAGAGCTCCAACTGTAAATGGTTGTAGGATGAAGAGTCTCTCAGACTGCTTGAGGTAGTCTTCACGGTCACGAACCGAATCTGTGGTACGAGTCGAATCGGTCGATTTGAGGGAAGAGAGTGAGAGCCTGTCTTCTTCCATTGGGGTAGTAGCATACTCTTTGCGTAAGCGGTTCAGACCTTCCTCGAACTCTTGGTCTCTCTTGGATTGAGATTGGAATTGTGGGGCAGGGTTTTGCATAAACATCCAAGGGTTGGGGAAGTAAGGCATAGGCTGAGGAGGGTAGTTCGGGAAGCCTTGTGGTGGGTAGTAACCTTGAGGTGGAAATTGGTAGTAAATCGGAGGTACTTGCTGGAACTGAGGTGCAGGGGCTGGTGCTTTAGGTTCCTCTGGTTTGGGAAAGGACTGGGTTGGTGGTACGTCGGACATTGTTCTGAAACAGTACAAGACTAGTTCTGAAACAGTACAAGTATTGTTCTGAAAAAGTACAAGTATTGTTCTGAAGCAGTGCAAGTATTGTTCTGAAAAAGTACAAGTATTGTTCTGAAGCAGTACAAGTATTGTTCTGAAAAAGTACAAGTATTGTTCTGAAACAGAAAATTTTTCTCACAAATTGAGAGCTTTTACGGGAAATTTGTTCTGAAACAGGACAAGTATTGTTCTGAAAAAGTACAAGTATTGTTCTGAAACAGTACAAGACTAGTTCTGAAACAGTACAAGTATTGTTCTGAAAAAGTACAAGACTAGTTCTGAAACAGAACAATGGACAACATCGAGCCATTAGATGAGGCAATTTACCTTATAGAGATAAATGAAGTTGTTAAGCAGTACTTGGGCAAGGACAAAGCCAACAAGTCCCTCGGCTGCTGGTTGTCTGGAAGAGGTGCGCTGAAAATCGAAATTGAAACCGGAATTCCAATTCAAATACCAGAAAACACTCCTGTAGACGACATAAAGGAGATGAAGAAAGAAGCTCTTCTCAAGTTCTTTGCAAAGCGCCCATGGATACAACTTCCAAACAGAGAGAGTCCAATTCCACGAATTATACAAATTCTCAGAGCACTGTTCCACTTCTCAGGACGGCCGTTCTTCATAACCTCAGAAGGCGACATCCAACCAGTACTGTAAACCTTAACGTTTAGAGTAAAAACATTTTTTTTCATTTTTTGAATGAAGCAAGTTAAATTCGTCCCACACCAATCTCAATGGACCGATGAAGAGTTTCAAGCCATCGTTGAAGACGTTGAGAACGACATAGACGGCGAACTTAAAGGAGCTCAAATCACAATTGCAACCAAAATTGCAGAGGTCAAGGAACAGATAGCTCCACTTAAAGCTACCAAAGCTACTCTTGACCTCATGGATAGTTACCGTTTAGATGTCAAGAGTGGAATAAGACAATTAAAATTAAAACTTCTAAACTACGAAGCTATACTCCAAAAGTTAGCAGAAATGAGGAGACTTTACCAGAGCTACTTACATGTAAGGGACTTACCTTCAAGCAGTCCGACCAAAGATGAATTTGTTGACATTGTCCCAATTTTGTCCGAAAGTCAGCTCAGATGTTTCGAACTGCTCCCAACATATCCGGAATATGAACGTTTGCCTGAACTCTTTCGGTTCCTCAAAAAACGTTTTTTGGTTCTCATGTTCCAAACTTTTATCGGAAGAGACAACAAACGTTCAGAAGAAGAACAAGATATTATTTTAAACTTGTTGTATGACTTAACTGTCATAACCAGCTTTTTGAAGTAAAACCGTCATTCTCAAACCACTTAATTTTTTCGATGTCCGAACAAGCACCGAAGCCGAACACAATGGCAGATGTCCTTTCAAGGTTGCCAGACAAGCGCCCAATTCAAATTCAAATTGCCCAATTGAAAGCTCATCTGACAAACACCATTAAGACTCTCCAAAGTAGTCTTATGACAGAGATGACCAATCTCAAAGCCGATGTCCTCAAGCAAAAAGCTTCCAATGAGAAAGTCCTGAACGATTTCTCAGAATCGTTGCGCAATTACGAGAGAGAAAACCGAGACCTTGCCAGACTCATATACCGTTTCTTCGAAGAGATAGACGCCATCTGGAAGGTACTCGGAAAGGACAGAACATGCAACACCGTACTTCGTGAGTACCAAATTGAAGAAGGAATTGTCGAGGAAGAAGAGGAAGAAGAGAAACACGAAGAAGAGGAAGAAGAGAAACACGAAGAAGAGGAAGAAGAGAAACACGAAGAAGAGGAAGTTTGGGCAACCCTTGTTGCCGATGACGCTTATGAAATTTCCCAACCCTACCCATACAAAATCCGCAACAGGGAGACCGGCAAGGTTCTTACCCCAGTCCTCAACAACTTGGGACACTTGAACCTTAACCTTCGGAATCGCGGTTCAATTTCCATGGGCAAGCTTGTCGCAATTCAATGGGTTCCAAATCCAGACAAGAAGACGAGGGTCAGACACATTGACGGTGACAAGCTCAACAACCGTAAGGAGAACCTCGAGTGGTTCTAAGAGTAAAAAAATTTTATTTTAGGGGGAAACCCCAAGTAAATTTAGGTGTTTATTTGGATAAGTATGTTAAATTAAGGGTAATTTGCAAAATTAGTTCCCGACCTTTGAATTGGACTCTTTCGTTATCCCAGTTGCGTAGGAGGTCGTCCCAGAGGAGTTGGTAGAATTGCCAATCTAAGGACGATTTGTCCTCCCAGGCATTGAGGATGTACTGCTCGTAGAGTTTCATGACCTCTGCCTTGCACCAGACACCCTCTCCCTTGGAACGTAAGGCTTCTTCGAAGTGCTCGAATGCGATTGGCTGCTTGACCATCCGAAACGACACTTTTTGTCCGTTTGGTCAATGTTCGTGTCTCGTGCCATAGTCGACGAAAATACAGACAAACAGGTTATATATGAGTTTGAGACCAAGAATGGTGTAACTCGACCTGTCCGATTCAAAGACTCCGAGGGCGACCATGAAATTAAACGGAAATTAGCTAGGAAGGAATATAAAAATTTTTTATTTCATGCAATGTTTTATTTCTGTGCCGTCTTCAAGTATGCCCCAGTACTTACGCTTGGAGAGGACATGAACTTCGGTGAAAATTTTGTCCAATTTGAATTGACCCATCTTTTCACCGACCATGCCCATTTCAATGAGTTTGTTGTACCCTTCTTCGTTCGTCATGAGTGCGTCAATGTTCTCATAGTAAACCTTCACTTTGGATTTGACTTCGGAGAAGAATTTGTTGTAGTTGTCAAGGACTGCTTTTGCGAACTGAGGGTAAGACCAATGTTCGACAATAGGTTTTAATGTGGTTACTAAGCCACTTTGACCTTGAGTGAATTCGTACTTCAAAACAAAAGGAGAAAACCTTTCAACAAAGTTGTCGACCTTCTCATAATGTTTACTCTTCATCTCTTGAGGTTTCTTAATGGAATATCCCCATGTCGAATTCATAAGCAATTTGAGTGTCATTGCAAGTTTGGGGTTTGAAGCTTTCCTAATATCATACAGTTGTTGTATGACTTTTCCAACTGTATAGTTCCTTCCCGGGAACTCACCATCTTCGTTTGGAATTCCAGTCGGAATATATTGGACAAACCTCATGTATGCAGCGTTAAGGTCGACATAGTATATCTTTTCATCTGAGTCGAACTTGTCGCAACCAATTGGTCCAGTTTGTGGAAATTCAAGTGAGTCTCTTATCTTCTGAGAAACTTCTCCTGTTATCTCATAAACATCGTCGAAGCAACCTGTTTCATATAAAACCTTCTGACCTAACTCAGATGCTCTCCAATACAATTTGACGTCAATTGGATGTCTCAATGGAAGTTTGCTTATAGCATCTTGAAGTTCTTGCAACCTCATTGGAAGTTCTTCTGGTTCAGGTTGGTATCCGAACAATCCAACTCCTTGTGGAATTGTGTACTTCTTTTGTACTAGAACTTTGTCTGGAACAACTTTTGGTCTTGCTAACAGTGAAAAGTTTGTTTCGTCTTTTGGTACAAAAGTTTCTGTCAGCTTGTCATCTGGAATTGGTTCCAACAAACCTTTCTCGAAAAGAATGTTTACAGCTCTGACAATGTTGCACTTGCCTTTTCCGAACAATGGGTTTGTAAGACTTTCGTTCAACATGAAGTGGTTGTGGACAATTACAATCTTCAACCATGGTAAATTGAACTCAACAACATAGTCGTCATGTGAAGAACCTTTAGCTGTAGGTATGTTGACTCGGATATTGACATTTGCCAACGGTGCAATTTTTGCCAATTGACCTCTGAGAATGTACCTTGTCTTCACACATGACTCAAGATACTTCATCTTCTCTTCTGTAACAAGACCAGAGTTCCTGAGACATGTAAGAATGCAAGGTTCATTGACAATTGTTTCAATTGAATTGTAAATTCCATACCTTGTCAAGTCAATGTCAGACTTATTTATGAACGGGAAGTATCCAGCATGTTGTCTGACTGCTTGAGGGTTAGGTTGGTACCATTCGAACTTGACACTTGCAATTCCTTCAATTGCATTCAAAATGTCTGAGTCGGAGTCAACCATTTGTTCTCTCTTTGTAGTCTTGAAAGCGTCAAGAAGCATTGCAGCTGTTGTGACATTGCCATGTGCATAGTAAATGTGACCATCCAAATCTGTTATGGTCAATCTGAGATTGTATCCTTTCTTATTTCCGTCTTGTATGGCAGCAAGTACACCCATGAAGCCTTCTTTGTTCTTTCCTTCGTCAAAGTTTACTGTAAAGGTTCGACCAGATGTAATTTGACTTCTAACTTCACGGTACTTCTCATATGCATATCTTGTTCTTTCCATGGGAGCATGACCATCCTCTGCACTACCTTTTTTCCTTCTCAAAGGATGCAATTGTTCGTCATGTTTCCAGTAGAATCTGGCAAAGCCGTCGTGTCCTTCAACTTGAGGTTCACTAACATCGAAAGGCATGTCCATAAGACGTTCTTCTTCTAACCTCTCTAGTCTGTTTGGATAATTTGCACGTGCTGTTTCCAAATCCATTTCGTAGCGAAGACCAGACAATTTGTCATAGACTTTTATGGGTCTTCCCTTCCTATATTTAAACTTCTTCGAAACTCTCCAACCATATCTTTGCAACTCTGCTTTTATTCTAGCAGATTTTCTATCCATTCTATATGGGGGCATTTTTATAAAAATAAAAAAATATTTTTTTCTTTACTTTACATAACCGCCTGCTGCCATAAGTCTTTGACGCCAACCCATACCAGCTAATGAAGGTTGACTTGGTTTAGTTTCCAAACTAAACTTTGGTTTTGGTTTATCTTCAGTTTTTGGTTTTTCTTCTTCTATCGGTTTTTCGTCACTTTTCGGTTCCTCTGACTTTACTTCACTTGCAGGAACAGTTGTGTCGTCAACATCTTCATAAATATCATATGCCATTTGTTTTTGTTTTCCTTTCAACTTTTTGTGTTTGTTGTAAAGTTTAGAATATTTCGACTCTAAGTCAATGAGATGTTCTATAATGAACTGTTGGTCAGTGAAGTAAACTTTTCCATCTGTTGTTTCGAAAGCTCCTTCAGACTTCAATATTTTATTTGTGAGAGTCTGTTTCTTTTTTGAGATACTTGCCGTTCCATTTTTATGAAAAGTGACTTTGTAGTTAGGGTTTGTATTTCCAGACCTGGCACTTTCTATTATTGAATTTTTCTCTTCATCTGTAAGTTCTTTGACAGGTTTTGACAATGGTTCTGAACTTTTTGTTTGTGGTGTCAAATCTACCGTTTCAACTTCTTCGGTCATTTCATCTCAGTAAAAAATTTTAGTTTGGTTTGTTTTCAACTGGTTGTTGTTGTTTTTTAAGTCGGTCTAAAACTTCCTGAGGTATAGGAAGAACTTGACAAACACGTGGTGTAACTGCTGGAAGTCGACAAATCCATCTTGAACCCATTTGTCTCAATGCTGTATTGTTCATTTCATCTCAGTAAAAAACTTTACATTCCCCACGTTTGAGGCGGTTGAGGTTGGTTATTGTTTACCCATTGTTGTGCATGGTTATATCCTCTGTTAAAGAATCTTTCACCTTGGTCCATATAGTGTCCTGCTTGGTTATAGTAGTCATTTGCTTTGTTATAATAGTTTCCTGCTTGTCTTCCTACATTGTCCATCCATCCTTGAACTTTTCCTCTTGTTTCAGGATTTGGAATAAGATTTGTTGCATCTCGTGCTACATCCCAACCTTTCTGTACAGTTTGTATAATAGGTTGTGCTTTCTCTTTAAGTATACCTAATGTACTCAAAATCTTCCTTCCAACTCCAAATACACCTCTGGCTATTGTTCCCACTGCGGGCAAAAATCTGGATGCAACTCCTGCTAATGCGCCAAATAAACCCATTTCTTATGGGTTAAAAAATGACGAATCCAAACAAGGACCCCTATGTTTCTAAAGCGACAAAGAAAGCACTCATGATAAAAATCTTTAGTTCAACACCAAATGCTTGGTTTATGGATATCTTGGAAAACATTCCGAGAGTTAGAACAGATGGACCACCATACTGGTTAATATTTGTCGGTCAAAACACAAGATACTGTGAAGCCATACCATTACAGTCCAAAAATATTTTAGATATCTTAGCAGCTTTGACAATATTCGTTGACAAATACCATCCAACAAAACTGACATCTGACTGTGAAAGTTCTTTCAAATCAGATGATGTAAAAAACTATCTGCGTTCAAAAAAATGTAAACCAATATTTCATTGTCGACCAAAACCATTCTGCTCTTGGTGTCATTGACGGTTGTATAAAAATGTTAAGAGACTTAAACCAACCACAAGGTGGTGAAGCAAATGAAATGTCATATGACGACAAATATAGACACTTCTCCATGGCAAAGATGAGACAAGTTTTAAATATTTACAATAGCCGTAAACAAAAAGGTTTGGGAAACCACTCCCCGAAGAAATGAAAAACAACCCTGACTTAGAGAAAGACTATATATTTAATAATTTAGTCAAAAGAGACAAACAAGAAAGAATGCCGGGCTTCAAACTTCAGAAAGGTGACAAAGTAAAAATAGAAATACCTAAACGCGACCCATATGAAAATACTATTGACTATGACAACAATGGGAACCCGACAGGTACTCACATTCGTGTTCGTAAAAATAGAAGAAAGTATACAAGAGAATATTATGAAGTTTTAGGCAAACATGGCAAAATGTACACACTGCAAGCAGAAGATAAAACTACTATTGTCAGACCTCGTTTCAAACTTGTCAAAGTTCAAGGTGGTATACTTTCAAAGACAGTTCCTAACAAATATAAGACAACTCCTGACGAATATGCTAAAGAAGTTGAAAATGACGACTAAGCATTTCTATACCATGCGTAAACTGTCATGTAAGGTGGCATGTAGTCTTTACTTTGTCCCGTTGTTTGCGTATATCCTGAAACGCGATGTGTATGGTTTCCATCTCCCTGAGTGTTACCCCAGAAACAATTTATAGCAAACTGAACGTTGTCTTTAACATCATATCCTTTACCTTTTGTCATTGCTGACCAATCCCAAAATTTATGCTTATGCCAACCTGCTTGAGATGTACTTAAATCTATGTAGTGACTATGTGCAGGTAAATTTTCACCTGAAATCGTTTTACTTCCACCTGTTTCCTTTGAAGAGTTTGCACAATACAAAAACCTGTCGACTATTTGAGTCCAAGTTCCAAAACCCAGAACTGTTTCTGGATTTGTTGAGTTCATTGACGTATAAATAGAGCCTATAGGATATAATGTTTGAAGTATTTCTGTCTTTAATGTTTGAAGCTCTGTTTTGTCTGCTTTCTTGTCATATAAATCTTGAGCAGTGAATTTAATATTATGTTCATCCTTCATGACATAAACATCTTTACATCTAATGTTTCTCATCGTCGTTATGTCGTCATCCGATGTTAAACCTTGTGGAAAGTTAGGAGGTTTACAATATATTGCATCCCCACCAGTTTCTTCAACCGTTCCTTCAATACTTTCTATAGCAACAGTTGTAAAACTTGTATGTGTATGGTTCTTGTCTGCTTTCTTCTCTAACTCATCGTTAACATAAGTTTTATCTGCTTTAAGGTCTAAACATCCTGAAACCCATCCTGTATCGGCTTTAACTTTAAAAGTCTTCGATGTCCATTCATGGTACCAGTCAACCCTTTCTTTCATTTCGTTATCTTTTTCATCCACATATTCCTTATCTGCTTTCTTCTCTAACTTACTAGCCACATATTCCTTATCCGCTTTCTTTTCAAGGCTAACGTTTAAGTCTGTTATTTCAGATATAGAATGTGTATGAGTCTTTTTAGAATATTCGTTTTCAGCTCTTGTCACTTCACTTGACATTTTATTGTCAACATATGTTTTGTCTGCTAGTTCAGGATGAGTATGTTCTTTTGTTGCATAAGCATTGTTAGCTCTTTCTTCTTCTTTTGCTATTGCATCGTCTACATATTCTTTGTCAGCTTTGTTGTCAACATCTGTTTTCAAAAGAAGTTCATTTATAGGTTTCTCGTTTAAAGTTCCTTTTGTTGGATTTATACAGACAGTATTGTTCTTCTTGTCTTGAAACAGAAACTCATCTGTCATTGGGTTTAATGTCAGTTTTAAGTTTCCTTCTTTCAATGACTCAGATATCTTAGAGTAGTTTGAAAAGTTTGTTGTGTTCTTATTTAGAGCTTGCATAATGAGTTGTCGGTTGTGTTGTATTTCTCTCATGGAAGCAATATCTTTCGACATTTTTATTCTAGATAAAATATGCTTTCAATAGAAAAAGAAAATTCAAGAGTTGCTACAACTAAACCATTAGATGAACTTTTTACTAATGTCGGTCAAAAGTTTGAGACAGAGACCGTAAAGCATGAAGGCTATCGTTTTGACTACCCATTAAGATGGCTAAGAGACCCATCTGTCACAAAAGCTATTGGCTTTCGTAGAATGAAGTTCATTTCAGAAGCCATACATGGTTTCCCATTTACGGTCGGTTTTGAAGTTCGATACTATAACAAAGAAAAACGTATGTATGAGAAATTTGAACAGGGAAAACTTTTACAAGTTAGTTTGCTTGTAAACTTAGAAACAACTCTTCAAGCTTTTCAAGAAAAAATAAACGATATCTATATCGAATATGCAAACCAGTATAACATTGACGAGGGAGAGTACCATCTCGATATTATTTATGACAGGAAAAATGCAACTGTTAAAATCAATAAAATAGAAGACCTTGGAGAAAACGTTTATATTTCTACAAAATATAACAACTTGGCATGGTATAGATTTATGAGGATGTTAAATCAGCCTGCAGCATATCCAGTACACCCAGACTTTTATGAAGTCGAAAACCCTAATGGAACATATGAAAATGTTTTCGACCAAGATGCTATTATTGTTCATGCTTCATTTTCTGGCGCCCAAAACTCTTTCTTATGCTTGGCAAATGACTTTTACGAAAAACCTACAAAGTTATATGAACCGCCGAGTGGAAGTATTTCAGACTTTCAAGTATGGTTTACTACAGATGGAAGAAAAAGAATAATTCCATTATACCATGCGTTTTACTTAGAACTTAGTTTCATATACAACTACTATCGAACGGTAAAAATATAATTTTTTAATACGGTTGAGGTGTTGGATTTGGTTGCCAACTAGACTGTGGTGCAGGTTCAGGCTGTTGTATAACAGGAGCTTGCTCTTCTGGTTCAGGGTCTTTAGGTATAATACCAACAAACTGACCTACTCTTTTACCAATATTTTTGACACCGTTCCAAATTCCTCTTCCTACGGTTTTTATTCCATTCCATATACCTCTTCCAACTCTTCTGAAGAAGTTTCCTATCTTACTGAAGAAACCCATTTACTATATGTAAAAATCTAATGTCCGCCTAGTCTCTTACGTTTCCTGTTGAGTTCCATAGCATTCTTTAACTGGAGCTCATACATTCTGTTTCTCCTCTGGTAGAAAACATATTCTGGGTCAACTCCTGTGTTCGCGTCATCTGCATAAAGTTGTTTATATCCCACTTCAGGGTTTGTATAAAACTCTTTCCATCTCATATTTGCATACCATGGTGGCAAACCTAACGCAGCGTCATTTGACATGGCAGTTTGCATTTGTACATCTGTTGGCACTTGAC